TTTTTTTTTTTTGAAAATTGGAGGCACTTGAAAGTAATTCGACCACTGGCTAATTACCGAACTCCCGCGTAATGTTAGTACCACACGCATTTTCAAATAATACACCCATTTTTCATTTTGTACGCAGTTTTGGCAGTTGTTTTGTTGTCTATTTTGTCTTTGGGCCTATAATTTGTCGTCAGTCCTTCTTACAAAATGAAGGAAGCTCTGTTCCTTTATATAATAAGTTAAGAGTTCGAATTGCTTGGTGGGGCATTCAGTTCTGCTATGATTTGTTCATTCGTTTCGATGATAAATTGGTGCTGGTACTTGTCGGAGAGCAAAAAGTGCTGTATATTTGCTTCTAAGTGATTTTTAGAAGAGAGAGCCGTATGCAGCCTGGCCAGAAAGTGATTGCTGTTGGTTAATTAGTATCATTTGAGCCGCTTTTTTCGTTTTTAGGTTGCGTGGGATTGAATTACGAAAAGAGTTTTGATTTTTAGCCATTATTATTATAATTTCCTTTTGGACTGTATTATAAGATGATATAGCAGAGCTGGAAAGGACGAAATGATAAGGACGAAAAAAGTGCAGAGGGAGCTAAAAAATAATCGGGCAACATGCTGTGTAAGACATTTAAAATGACGCTTTTTTTAGATATGAACATTGACGATGTGATTGCAATAGCAGAGAAATTCAAAATTAAGCCTCTTATGGAGAAATGCGAACATTTTATCGCCAAAAAAGTAAGTTCGATATTTATAATTTCGAGTGAAGGGCATAGAAGTTGCAAGTCATATTTAGTATTTAATCAACAAGTATTTGATATACATACTGGAAAATTGTTTATGTTTGATCTCTTAGCCGTAAACACAGACAGAGCATTGCGTGCGAATTTAGAGTAGAAATCATCAGTATAGCCTTCTACTCATTAATTTCCGACCTAAAATACATGTAAAATAAATGCGGAGTAAAGTTTTTTCTAGTTATTAATTCGAATAGTTTATCTTGTTATAATCTAGGATTGCCTGCGTTTGAGATGAGGTCCCAAGTTGGTCGAAAACTTGTCATTTGCTTCTTTCGAGAAAATCGTTGGCTTTTGATTCCTTCGAAAAAAAAAAAAACAGGCGTCAGAATTACCAATAAGCTAACCGCTAGAGGGTGATGCAGCATTGGTCAAAGCGATGGAAAAGTTGTCAGCTGCATAGCTAGAGAATTATGTTGTGAATTCCAACTAAAAGGTATTTTTTAAAGTAAGCTCAAGGTTAAAAAGTAAGGTAAGCTTTTAGGGCAAGTTTTTAAGGTAAGCTTTCAGGGTAAGCTTTTAATGTAAGCTTTTAAGGTAAGCTTTTAGGGTAAGCTTTTAAGGCAAGTTTTTTGGGTAAGCTTTTAAGGTAAACTTTCGGAGTAAATTTTTACGGTAAGCTAAGTAAGTGAGCTGAAAGGCAATTTTTTCCATTCGATAACACTGTGTTGTGGAATACATTATTGCTACTTTCAGCTGCCGTCATCATCCGTGATGCATGCAATTCGATTAGCGGAACAGTATCGAATGACTAACACCAAGCAGAAATTATTCGATTCAATCTCGATTGATGTATTTCGAAGTCTTTCTGCGGATCAGCATTATCGGCAAATGGATGCTGAACTGAAAGCTGAGCTACTCGAGAAATGGGGCACTTTCCTGTAGAAACAGAACAGACGTACGGACAGGCACACAACCAGTGAGATCCACATCTTTAAGTTCTTTAGGCTCAGGTGTTTTTTTTTTTATTTGCTGTTTCAACTGAACGTTTTTCTCCTTCTCCTCATCATCATTCATATGCAGGTATTTTTCCTAAATTATCTTGGTAATCTTTTGTATGCCATTTTTATCATTATTTCTAACTACTGTTCAGAAGTATGATATTGTTACTTTAGGATTCCGAAAAATCGTGAATTCAGATCCATGGAAAAGAGCATCAGAAAAGCACAAGTCGAAAATCCCACCATGTTCGCTCTCTGTAGGAAGCGAAGACACTGGAGAAGTAGTCCGAGTAGTAGCAAATGCCAATAGCAGCTGCTCGCTGGCAAGACTGTCGATAACTCCCTCTTTCGAATAAGTTTGCTTGCAAGCAAACTGATGGCGAATTTGACTTCGTAGCGTAGGCTAATATCAGTTTACCATCGAACCTATTGTAGAAGGGACCAGTGGTGCCCTACCGGTATTAGCCTTTATTGTAACAGTAGAAAAGAGAGAGGGGGTTGGTCACTTTTGAATTGAAAATGCAGCTCGTCGCTTTTCCCTCACCCCCTCTTACACACCTCTCTCCTCAAAGTTTGAGGAAAATTTCGCCTACTAGCTTGCTTCTAGCTTCTTTTCGGTTTTTTTTTTATAGGAGTTGCTGAATTCTTTTAAAATCTGCCAAATGTTTTTTATAGTTTTTTATGCGTTTTTGCATATATGCAGATGCAAAAACGACCCATGGTGCGCGTGTGTGTACACGCTAATGTGCGCGTCTGTCCAGGTATTTTAACTCGGCAACCAAACAAGCTTCGGCGCTGAAATTTTGCCAGTGGCTCCCTTAGCCAAGTGCCACCTGGGGACTGCAGTACCAATCTTCACGCACTTCTGATATCTGCGTATGGACACGTGGAAGTTATGGCCGGAAATTGGGAACCAGAAAAGTTGAAAAGCTGGAATTTTGAAGGGATGTTCTCCATCCTAGTTCAAACTTAAAAATTCCAAATTCAGCCCTCAGGTATGCGTGGTTCTCACGCACGAGTACCTAAAAGTTTTGGCGAGGAAACTACTCATTGAACAGCTAAATCATTTCTAGTTAAACGGAAATTATTCATTTTCCTTTATGCAAAATTTAC